TTTTGGAAAATGTATATAAGAACAAGTTTTTGATAAGTTATTTAGAGTTTGGGAGGTTCTATTGTGTTTCATCTGAAATCAATTAAAAGGGGAAAGCAAAATCAGAATGTTGTATTGATATTTACCATGTGTAGAAGGGCTAGAGAAGGGACATTGGTCTAGATTGCTTACATTTGTTTACAGCTTAGGTTGAGGAGTCTATGTAGTCATTACACATGACAGGCTTATGTGTGATTACTAGGAAATTTATAAGTATAGAACTGATGAGCATGATTTAAAGATGATGATTGAAGTTATAGGCTTGCAAACAACGATATACTACTGTTCTGTGAAATGAAGTTTAAAATGTAGGGTTGTAGAGGACTTAAACTATTTTTCAATAATTAATATAATTTGAGGATAACAAAAGCACTGGGGTGAACACTCATTGCACCATGTAGTCCTTAGTTTGTGCAGCTCCTCTAAAATGTATAAATTGAGGATTATACTCTTTGGTTTTTAAAGGGAATTAAAAAAAAAGGAATGTATAAATTGAGGGTAAGGATGCCTCCACAAAAACCCAGCAGACATGCAGAATTATTTTACTCTTTCTTGTCTAGTGTGGATTTTTTAGCAAGCATTTTTGGCCAACAATGTTTTGGTGTCATTTGTTTTACATGGATTTAATATGACTCTCATTTGACCTGCAGATGAAGCTAGAGTTAAAGAGTTTAAGCTCAAATCTATGTGGAGAAGCCCAAATGGAACAATAAGAAATATTTTAAATGGTTTGCTTTATAGTGCTTCGTTTTGCTATTTGATATTTTTTATATCAGTAATTTCATATACAAATCCACACAATTATCTTTAAAGTCAATTTTACTCCACAATATGGTCATTCTGACTTTCAAAAAACAACTTTTATCTTTTATGTTGGATATGCTTCTTGGAACTTTTGTTATTGGTTAGCATGATTTGTTGCATATGGTTGTCCTCTGCATCTGTTTTCTTGTATTTAAGATCTAGGGAATATATGAGGACTATTCCTTAAACATTGTTAATTTATTTGTTTGCATGAGATTACGGAGTTCTTCTCAACCATTCAACCTAAGAATCCATTCAAGTTTTAATTGGTACCACTACATTTCCCTTATCTTGAGTACACAAGGAGTGCCCTTAAACTTTAACTTAAATTTTTAGGTACTACTAGTTCAACTTGATCTATGATGGCTAATTTTGATTGATTGAATGATTTAGGATCATCTTGGTCAATGATCTTGGTTCATCTCCAGCTATTTCTTGCTTATTTTAATATAAATGTTTGATTCAATTACAACAATAACAACAACAATAGTAACAAAGCCAAAAGTCTTAACTATTTGGATTGACTACATAGGTCTTTTGTCGTCATTGAGATTTGTGAAAGGCCATATGTTTAGTTAAGTTTAAAGTACTTAAATATTTAGTTATAATTTCTATTAGTTGTTTTAGGTTTTCCTCTATCTCTTCTCGTACCACTAACATTGATCATTTCATATTTTCTGACTTTCATATCCGGAGGTCTCCTAAGCACATGCTTATACCATGTTAAACGATTTTCTCTCATCTTATCCTCTATCAAAGCGATACCTAGTCGTTCATGAAAAAAGTATTTCTTTTCTTATCTTTCTTAGTAACTCTACATATTCATCTTAACATTTTTATCTCGGCAATACGAACTTTTTGTATATGTTATTTTTTAATTGCTCAACACTCAGATCTATAAATTATTATTGGTCTCACAACCAAGGTCTGCTATACCGAAACGTACCGTCTGATACGAGCGGTACGTATCGGTCTGATAGGTTACCGGTACGCGGACCACCTGGTACCGCTACAGTGCTACAGTATTATACTGTAGCACTGCTACAATATGAAAAAAAATATATAATTGTTCGGTACACCAGGGTGTATCGCTCGGTATGCCCCGATGTACCGCTCGGTACACTGGTATCGTACCCCATACCGAGCTCGGGTCGAAACGCCGGTACGGTACGGTACGACGAACCTTGCTCACAACTATCTTTTAATAATTTTTTTTTAATTTCAAAGGCATCCGATGATCACACAAAATTCTAAATTTGGTTTCAATGTCTTGAGCATGGTTGGTTACTTCAAGTTTGTTTGTAATAGGTTTTTCAACATTTGGTTTTTAGGGACTTTGTTTTTCTTTTCTTGACTACATTGGTGATTTTTAGAATGATCAGTCCAAGGTCATCAAAAGCGTTAGGTGCTATGAGGTGCCAAGCTTCCTTATTGCTTGTGGCACCAAGCTCGTGCCTAGGTCCTTGTCCTAATATAACAAAGTAATTGCCTTATAACAATAAAAAAATATTATAAAAAAATGGATCGCTACATGAGTTTTTATCACTACATATGCAAGATGATTAATACAAAGACATCAAATTATACACATATGACCATTTATAGAACACTCAATTATGACAATGATAATGAAACTAGTCTGTGTCTAAATAACAAAACAAACAAATTTTAAACAAACTAGTTTAAGACATCCAATCATCAAATGAGGTAAATGATTAAATGATTTAATCTTTGGTTTTTTTTTTCTCATTCATATAAGCCTGTAACTTCTGCTTTGCTTTCAAAGGACACTTTCCTTTTTGCATGATGATTGATTTTAGATTTTCCATTTCATGTTGTTTTGTCTGAAAATGTTCCACCTTTAGTGGTTTTATCACAAAACATACAAGTGGCAGCATTAGGGTCTTTTGGATCATCATCTTTAATGGTTCTTGATGATGATTCCTCTAACGTAGCTTTAGTTACCATTGTATCTAAAATATAGTTTTGATTTCCATGTTAATTTGGATCATCATCTTTATTGTTTCTTGATCATGATTTCTCTAACGTACCTTTGGTTACCATTGTATCTGAATTGTAGTTTTGATTGCCATGTTAATTTGAATGAGAGGAGAGAGGGAGAGGGATCAAAGAGATGGAACAATGGAGATAGGAGAGAAGAGGGAGGTTGGAGGGGAGAAAGTGATAAGAGGGAAGGGAGGGCAATGAGAATGATAGTTGTGGGCGACAAAGTAAGCAGAGAAGAAAAGAGCATATAGGAGGAGAGAAAGGACAAAAGAGGGAAGATAGGATGGTAACAGCAGGTATGAGCCACAGAGAAAGGAGAAGGAGAGGGAGGGGAAGGAGGAGGGGAGAGAAGAAAAAGAGAGTGGTGATGACCTAGGGTGCTGGTCACATGCAAAGGAGAAGGGGAGAGGAGAGAAGAGAGAGAAGATAGGATGGTAACAGCAGGTGCAACCCAGCATTCGCAGAGAGAAAGCAGGAAGAAGATCAAGAAAAGAGGGAGACATACTGGATAAAGAAAGGATGTGTGGCTGATGGCTGAAAATCAAATCTAGGGCATAACATGGGCGTCAAACGTGGAAAATTATGTTCGGATCAAGGGGAAGGGGGGAAGGGAATTGGGTTTGGATCGAGTCGAGGCATTTGGGTCATTGAGTCAACCTATGCAAATGCCTGATATGCCCAGCACCTCAACTTAGCCGTTTGTCTAGGTGGCACCCAGTTGAAAGCATCTTGCCCAAAATCCGCTACGGCACTTGGGCCTCACATCGCCTTGCCCGAGCACCTAGGCGAACACTTGGGAACACTTCTTGGCATCTTTGGTTAGCCAAATAGTTTGACACCAGTACAAAACTTTTATGGATGAATGCAATAAAATTCAATTTCAAAGAAGGTTGTGGCATAAGAATCAAAGGAACTTAAAGTGTCCTGGTCTTTGGACCTTTTTTTTCTTTTATCTTTTATTTAAGTCTATTTCCTGTTTAGCTCGCTAAGGGAAGTCGAAGTAGGAAAGATATAGTTTAATTAGGGGCTAGAGTTGTTGCAATGTCTTGCTATGGTGCTAGTTAACTTCTGACATGGGTCATTAGCTCATACTGCTTGCATTATTTAAATAAATCAGAATAATAATTCACATTTGAGACACAAAACAGGATTGTATTGGTAGCTTGGCATATCGCACATGTTGCACTTACCTGGGGTCAGCCAGTCTACTACCCGGAGTAGGAATCGTTGTTGTTACAGCCTCATTGCATCCGGAAGTAACTCATTTTACTGTTTTAGTTTCGCTCTGTTGGGTACAAAAGTTGATGGTTAGTAATTGCCAATTGTAATGCAGCTTTTAAAGTTTTCTCAGCCATGGATGCATTACACTTGTGGTCATGCATGATATTCAGCTACTGTAAAAAGGAATGGTTGACTAGTAGCCTTCCCTGGCATGGCTTTGTTTGTATTCTCCATGTCATGTCTGTTTTCTGTACTTTTGAGTTTGCACCCCTTGTTTTTGGTACTTAGCATTTTGGTCTACATGTCTGGTACATATTACCTTACGGTTGTCTCTTATGCTTGCTGATCTCTATGTTACTTTTGTTAGCTTGAATCAGTCTTGTTCTAATTCACTTCAGGAACTGTTTTTCGTGAGCCTATTCTTTGCCGCAATGTGCCACGCATTGTTGCTGGTAAAAATGAAATTTTACTTGGTGATAAGTTAATTTTTGTGTGTATGTATGTGTGTGTTTGGAGGTCTTTGCTTATGCTGTATATTTTTAGGTTGGAAGAAACCTACATGTATTGGTAGACATGCATTTGGAGATCAGTATTGCGCTACTGACATGATTGTTAAAGGTCCTGGAAAGCTTAAAATGGTTTTTGGTGAGCTCTAATACTGACTATTGCTGATTTGATTAATTTATTGTTTTCTGTTTGACACATTTAGTGTCTACTTGGTTGATTAGTTAGTTTTTTTGTTAAATTAGTCCCTGCAGATAAAGGTCCACCTGTGGAGCAAGATGTTTATGAGTTTAAAGGCTCTGGTATTGCATTATCTATGTATAATGTAGATGAGGTTTGTCATATATAGTCTTATGTAGGAAATTTTACAGAGATAAATCTTTGTTGATCATACAAAATTGGAAACTCTTTTCAGTCCATTCTGGCTTTTGCTGAGTCATCAATGTCCATGGCATTTGCAAAAAAGTGGCCACTTTACTTAAGCACCAAAAATACCATATTGAAGAAATACGATGGCAGGTAGTGTTATCTTTTCTGTGCTAGCTTATTTTCTTACTAATCTATTAGTATCGTATGTTGTTTTTCATGGGGAGATTACGACAATGTGTACCTTTCTGTCAGCATATACCATGTACAGGTACCCCTGTTTTTTCTTCCTAATATGAAGAGCCAATTGTATCATTTCATTTGTAATTAATCTCTCCCGCTCTCTCTCTAAACCCTAAACCCCTTTCTCTCTTTGACTGCAAAGTTACATTAGAGAATATGCCTGTCAATGAAGTTGTAACATATAGAAAGTTATACAGATTCTTGCTTGCTTTTATTCTCTATTTCTTCGATTTGTTAGTGTCCTTATTGCAAAGCTCAATGAATAATCGTACCATAATTTAAATTGTCCTCACAAATTGTGAAGCTCAGCTATAGAAAATATGTCTGTCAGCAATGTGGAATTTTCATGCTCAGGATGCAATATATATCCAAAAATCTGGTTTTGTCCTTTTAAATTTTGGAACTTTAGGCATCTAAGATATACAGAATGAGACATTTGAAATATTGTAGGTTTAAGGACATTTTTCAGGAGGTTTATGAAGAAAAATGGAAGTCAAAGTTCGAAGAACAATCAATATGGTGGGAACATCTGTTCTAAGTATTTCACCTTTTTTGCTTAATAAGTCTTAAATTGATGTCTAATAATTGTCTTCCTGTTATCAGGTATGAGCATAGGCTGATTGATGACATGGTAGCTTATGCATTGAAAAGCAGTGGTGGTTATGTGTGGGCCTGCAAAAATTATGATGGAGATGTCCAGAGCGATTTCCTCGCCCAAGGTCTTACTTTTGAATTTATGATCTTATTATAACAGTAGTTAATATATTGGTATCAAATTCCTGTATTCCAAATATGTTTTACTTTTCACATATTATTTTAACTAAAGTATAGGGGTAGTAGCACAAGTGTCATAGGAAAGAATCAAATTGAAACTTGAAACATATCCTCAACCTTGTTAGGTAACATGAGTGAAAAAGTTCATGTTAACTAGGAGTCATGATTCTACTTTTGTTGTGATTGATTGATTTAACAAGATCACTCACTTTATGCCTTTATCCATGCAAAAAAAACTGCAGATGCTTCTCGTGTAGTCAAATTGTTCATGAACAAAATTAAATTCACAAGATATTTTTGGAAAATTTTGAACATAATGTTATAGCATTCTGCAGCATATAACCCTAAAACTAAGGTGATTAATAGGAAAAAGAATTCAACACTTCCGTTTTACATTATTTTTAGTGGCTCTACTGTGCGAGACCTTAAACTAATCAATGGAACAATGGCATTGAGTTTCATAACCTTACAATATCTTGCAAGAGAACTCTATGATCTTTATCAATTGAACTTGGGCGAAAATCATAGATGTCCTCGTGATTGTTATTGATTTGAGTTTTGTAGGTTGGGTTGCCCATGATCTGTGTTGTTAAACCTTTTATTGTTTGGCAGTTGGACAGTTTTTTTCCAATGCCCTTTTGTTCAACTTAAATTATTCTCAATAATATGATGTTTTAAGATTTATTTGTTGTTGCAGGATTTGGTTCATTGGGCTTGATGACGTCTGTATTGGTAATTACCAAAGTTTAATTGCTCTAGTTTCAGTCTCTACTTATCCCATGTATAGGTAACAATGATTGTAAGATAATTATAGTTATCATCTGATGGGAAAACATTAGAAGCTGAAGCAGCACACGGGACTGTGACTTGACATTTTAGGCTACATCAGAGAGGACAAGAGACTAGCACGAACAGTATTGCATCCACATTTGCATGGACATGACCGTCTTGAACACAGGTACTTGTAATTTTTCAAAACTCTATTGGAACAAAATTTTATGGAAGGCCTGACTTTCTGAAACGGGCATGAAATTTACCTTGAAATTGAGAATATGTGCATTATTTGTCTTTAGATGCTTTTGGTTAGCTCCCTGGTCTTGACATCTGAGGTCGGATTTTCTGCAGGGCAGAGCTTGATAAACATGAAAAACTACAAGACTTTGTCCAGAAACACTTGGAAAGGTTGAAGAAACTGACTCTTAACTAGGAATTGCAGAAGCATTGTAATTCAATTGAAAAAGAAAAACTAGCATGACGGAACATGTTCCTTAAATGAGAAAAGATTGGGAAAGCAAAGAAAGGAAAATAAATGCAAGGCAGTATACCTTTTAAAACAAACCATAATCGATAGATAAATACTTTTTGTTTTGGATATTTGATTTGTGATGGTTTTTCACAATCATGCAAATACAAGAAAACAGTTGACTTTTCCTTCAAGGTTGCTGTTATCCTCATCTTGACTCTCAGATGAAGTATGCAAGGTTGCTGTAAGATCCACGAAATATGTTTAGTTCATTTAGTATATATGGAGTCTAAGATCTCATATAGGCACATGGTTTTATCTTTTGTGCACGAGTGATTGCTCTTTTCTCAATTGTGCTTTGTCTTCATTTATTTCTTTTGCAGAGTGTCCAGAGAATTCTACTTGAACACCGAGGAGTTTGTTGATGCTGTTGCTCAGAACCTTAAAGAGAAGATCCAAGTAGCAGCAATTATTTAAATGCTTTGTTAATTTTCAAGATGGATGACGTGTTTTCTCAAAAAAAAAAAAAGAAAAAAAAGAGAGAAAAGGAGGAGTTGGATTTGAAGAGTAAGTAAAAAAGTTACAGCATCTGATGAGCATGAAGGCTATTAATAATGAGGTTTTGTCTATGCAGCAGACAGACGGATTAAGTGAAGTGGACGTATTCCATGTTCCAACTCCTCGGGACAACAAGACGCTTGATGAAAGAAGTGGAGAAACCACATCTTGAGAAAATTAAATCTTGAACCAACCATTTGTCACGCGGATCATTCTTTTTCTATAAATTGGATGACAATATAATCCGGAAAAGTAGGAAACCTGCACAAGCACAAATATTATGTCATGATATATTATTTCTCTAGTTAAATGCCAGATAAGGACTAAAGGTGCAAATGCTAACCTCCTACTAGAGTCGCCAATGAAGGCTTGGGCATGATGCTCGGCTCGGATGAGCTTTCTGCGATGGGTCAAAAACATCGACCTTCAGTCATGAACAGCAATAAAACTCCCAAGTGTAAACATAATCTAAAAAAGTTGTTGTATTGGGTGCGTATGTGTGTTGTGTGTGTGTATATGTGTGTTGTGTATGTGTGTAATGTGTGTTGTGAGTTGTGAATGCCGTGTGTTTTGTGTTTGTGTATGTGTATGTGTGTGTTTGTGTATTGTGTGTAGTGTGTGTTGTGTGTATGTATGTGTGTTGTGTTGTGAATGCTGTGTGTTTTATGTTTTGTGTTTTGTATTGTGTATATGTGTGTAAAGAATGTTATGTTGTGTTGTGTGCGTATGTGTGGTATGAATGTGATGTGTGTTGTATGTGTGTGTTGTTAATAATATGTTGTGTTGTGTGTATGTGTGTTGTGAATGGCATGTGTGTTGTGTGTGTATGTGTTGTGAATGGTATGTGTTGTGTGTGTATGTATTGTGTCATGTGTTGTGTGTGTATGTATTGTGTCATATGTTGTATGTGTGTGTGTGTATTGTGTTGTATGTGTTGTGTTATGTGTGTATTATGCTATGTGTATGTGTGTTGTGAATGGTACGAGTATGTATTGTGTGTGTTGTGTGTGTATTGTGTTGTGTTGTGTGTGTGTTGTGTATGTTGTGCGGGTGTTGTGTACGTGTGTTATATTGTGTGTATATGTGTTGTGTTGTGAATTTTATGTGCATGCATGTTGTATGTGTGTTGTATTTGTGTGGGTGTTATGTGCTTGTGTTGTGTATTATGAATGTTATGTGTGTTGTGAATGCTGTGTTGTGTATATGTATGTTTATTGTGTGTTGTGTGTGTGTTATATGTGTGTGTATTGTGTGTGTTGCCTTCTGAGGACGATGTTGCTGTTATTGGGAGAAGGATGAGGTGGAACCACCACCATGACCATGTCAATATCAACAACAAAGAGAACATGTGACGATGAAGTCGGAGGAAATTTGCCATGTCTGAGGATGCAGCTTCTGTGGCGATTTGTTTGAGGACGATGAGTCGGGGCTTCGAGGTGGACATGCAAAAATATGCAAGCCACCGCCATTGGTCCCTTGTGTTGGTGGCCCTGTAAACAAAAATATGGGGTGGAGGGCAAAGGGAACATATTCCTTGGTAGGGAGTTAACGAGAGGAGCAACTAAAGAAAAAGACAGATCAACTCTCCTTCCCTCCTTCCGTCCGTTAGGGTTCAATTTAAGAGGAACAAAGGAAAAGGAAAATAGAAAGAGGAGGAAGAGGATGATGTCGTATGTTAGGTTCATCGACGTTTTGACTAAATTTTCGGCGCATCGTCCTCTCGTGGTCTATTGCTTAATCGATCAGTTGACCTCCGCAACTTTGATTTACTTGGTGTAATTTTCGTTTTTCTTGGCTCGATGCTCGAACCCATGGCCCGAAGCCTTTTGTTGATACGTCGACTGATCCTTCGGCTCGACATCCAATCTTCTGATATGTTTATCTCCGACTTAACATGATTCTTCCTATTTTAATTCTCTCTCCTTGATCGAAGTTTCCTACGTCACTCAAAACTTAAATTAAATCATAAATATTATCAATTGGTTTTATCATCAAAATTCGAGAGTCAACATCGTCCTCCCTCCGTACTTCTGAATATAAAAAAGAATGATAAAATGAACGATGTAAAAGAATCACCTTTGCTCTTCAACTTGTCACATAGCTTCCCAACTAAACTCTCAACAAATAACCCCCTATTGAACCAGAACTACATGCACACTTCCTTTAGATACCTCATTACTTTAAACAATAATAACACAATAATGACGCATCAAAACTTGAAATTGCTTTGCAAGTATAGCTCCATGAAAAAGTGATAAAAAAAATACCTCTCGATGA